GACTATCAGATTCAGGACATCTAAGTATGGATGGGCATGTTGTTTACTACTCAAGGGTATTTGACCAACGAAAATGGCCCATGCTCTACTCAGTGAATGGAGAACAACAGCTCAGGGCTCTTTCTATCTGATGGGGCAAGCAGATGACAGATGGGCCTGTAGCATCCCTGACAGTGAATGCTGGACACAGATCTTATAAATTTATATCAATTCTTTATCAGTTTTGAGTATTAAACTTTTATTTACCATATACCAAATATTTTCTATTTTGTTCCTACTGTGGACTAAATTGTGTCCCCCTCAAATTCATATGTTGAAGGCTTAGCCCCCAGTACCTAAGAATATGTCCTTATTTGGAGATAGAGTCCTTAAAGACGCAATTAAGCTAAAATGAAGTATAGGGTTGGCCCTAATCCAACATGACTTGGTTCTTTTTAAAAATTTTTTTTTGTAGTTGTAGATGGACATAATGCCTTTATTTTATTTATTTTATTTTTATGTGTGCTGAAGATCGAACCCAGGGCCTCACGCATGCTAGGCAAGCACCCTGCCGCTGAGCTACAGCCCCAGCCCATGACTTGGTTCTTTATAAGAAGAGGAAACTTTGACATATGTACACATAGAGATAAGACCGTATGAAGACACAGGGACAGTGACAAAAGATAGGAAAAAACACAGAGTGTTTAAAAACAAAACAAAAAAAAGTGTATTTTTGCAGCTCTCATACACACCACTCACCAGAAAACATCATCTCTGGTAACTAAAATGTGTGAGGATTTCTTCTCACCAACAACCAATTATCTGGCAGATGCCAACTAGGTATCTTAGAATTCAACTTAATTTTGACACTCTTTACCTGGACAGAGTGTCAGATCCCATAGGTCAAGGACTCAGTCCCATAAGACTGCCCCCTGCTTCAGAAATCAATTGCAACTGACCAACTGGCTATAAATTGGGAGTTCCCATAAACCCCTTCCTAGGGTTTAACTCTGACCCACCTCTCATACTATCTACAAGCCAGAGAGAGTAAGAAACCAACCCCATTGACACCTTGACACACTCAGATTTATAGTCTTCAGAATTATGAGAAAATAAATTTATGTTGCTTAAGTCACCACGTGTGGAACTATTCGGGTTTTTTTTTTTTTTTTTTTTTTTTTTTTTGGCTTTTTGCATCAGGCCTTGTGCATGCTAGCTAGGCAAGAGCTCCACCACTGAGCTATATCCCAGCCCTATGCATGGGACTTTTAATAGTGGTTCTGGTTGCCATATTTTTTTCTTTAAATTTAGGTATTTTTTTTCTTTCTTTCTTATACTGGAGATTGAACCCAGGGGCATTCTACAACTAAGTTACATCCCCACATACCCTGCTCTTTTTATTGTATTTTGAGACAGGGTCTAACTAAATTGCTAAGGCTGGCCTCAATAATCCTCCTGCCTCAATCTGTGGGATCTCTGGGATTACGGGCATGTACCACCATGCCTGGTTTAAATTTAGTTTTTATATACCTAAATTAAAAAAAAATTAAACCTAGCCATATCATTACTGGTAATTCTATGCCCTTAAAAATAAAATTTCTGGGGCTGGAGTTATGGCTCAGTGGTAAAGCTCTTGCCTAGTATGGGTGAGGCACCACATAAAAATAAAATAAAGGTATTGTGTCCAACTACAACTAAAACAAAATATTTTTTAAAAATAAATAAAATTTCTCGGTTGGGGTTGTAGCTCAGTGGTAGAGCGCTTATCTAGCACATGTAAGGCACTGGGTTCGATCCTCAACACCACATAAATAAATAAAATAAAGGTATTACGTCCATCTATAACTAAAAGTATTTTAAAAATTAAAATTTCTGGGCTGGGGTTGTAGGTCAGTAGTAGAATGCTTGCCTAGCATGTGTGAGGCACTGGGTTTGATCCTTAGCACTGCATAAAAATAAAAATATTGTGTCCATCTACAATTAAAAAATATTTAAAAAAATAAAAATAAATAAAATTTCCTCTTTCCTTCCATATTTAAAAATAATTTATGAGTAAATGTGGTATTTATTTTGGTGTGAAGTATGTGCACAACTTAAATTTTTTGGTGCATAGCAGTTGTTCCAACATTGGGGAGTTATTTGTTCCTAAAGTATCAACTTACATCCTTTCATGAAATTTCCCCAGTGACTTTTTTTAAAGCATTTTTTTAATATTTATTTTTTAGTTTTAGGTGGACACAATATCTTTATTTTGTTTTTATGTGGTGCTGAGAATCTAACCCAGTGCCTCATGCATGCTAGGCGAGCACGCTACTACTTGAGTCACATCCTCAACCCTAAAGCATCTTTTTTAAAAAAAGTTTTGTAGTTGTAGATGTACAGAATGCCTTTATTTTATTTGTTTATTTTTATATGGTGCTAAGGATCAAACCCAGTGCCTCTCGCATGCTAGGCGAACGCACTACCACTTGAGCCACATCCCCAATCCTAAAGCATCTTTTTTTTTTTTTTTGAGAGAGAGAGAGAGAGAGAGAGAGAGAGAGAGAGAGAGAATTTTCTAATATTTATTTTTTAGTTTTCGGTGGACACAACATCTTTGTTTGTATGTTGTGCTCAGGATCGAACCCAGCGTCCCCCGAATGCCAGGCGAGCGCTACCACTTGAGCCACATCCCCAGCCCAAGCATCTTTTTCCAAAAAAAGTTTTGTAGTTGTAGATGGACAGAATGCCTTTATTTGTTTATTTTCATATGGTGCTAAGGATCAAACACAATGCCTCACACATGCTAGGCAAGCACTTTGCCACAGAGCTACAGCCACAGCTCCTCCCCAGTGATTTTTTATCTTCTGTTTTTAACCTGGTACAATATGCATTTATCATTGTCTTTTGTTTTATGTTTTGATATCTAGAAGGATGAGCTGTCTGCCATCCTTCTTTTCCCAAAAAATATTCTTTGGAGTACTTACCTACTGATGTTTTTTTTTTTTCCAGATAATGTTCACTATTACTTAACAAAGTTTTAGAAAATTATTGCTTTGGAATTCAGCAGACAGCATGTAAAATTTATGTATTGCTTTTGCTACTATGTTTATTTTCCTCAACCAAGCACAAGGGATTATTTATTCAAATGTTTGTATATTTCTCTCATTAGGGTTTTATAACTTCCTTGAATGATTGTTGAATGTTGAGTGATAAATCTGGTCTTTATTGTAAGACTATTTATCTGTAAAGTCTCTGGGACCAGTCTAGTCCTTGGAATCGGTGTTGTCTGTGAGGTCAGGACCTGCAAACACACTAGGTATGGAGCAAAGGCAACCTATTCTTGCTTGAATACCCACTTCCTTTTTTTAATATTTATTTTTTAGTTTTAGGTGGACACAATATCTTTATTTTTTATTTTTATGTGGTGTTAAGGATGGAACCTAGCGCCCCGTGCATGCCAGGCGAGCATGCCACCGCTTGAGCCACATCCCCAGCCCTCCCACTTCCTTTTAACTGGTCTTTCTTATCCATTCAATTGGCCTTGTTTTCTGAGTACAGTCCATATTTTTCCACCCCTCATCCTTCCTTCGTCTCCTAACTCTCAGTCTTTGGCTATATTAATTTCCTATGTCTGTTGTTACAAAGCACCACAACATCGGTTGCTTAGAAAAAATATATTTATTGTCTCATAGTTCTGGGAGCCTAAAGTCTGAACTAGGATGTCCACAGGGTCATGATGTCTCTTTATCCTGTAGGAGAGTACTGCCTTGCCTCTTCCAAGATTCTGGTGGTTTGCTTGCAATCTTTGGCATTCCTTGGCTTCTAGATGCATCTCTCCAATCCTCCTTCTTCACATAGCATTCTTCTTCTATCTTTGTCTCTTCATAAGGCTGTCATATTATATAAGATGACCAAGCATATTGGACTAGGAACCCACCCTACTATGGTATGACCTCATTTAATTTATGTGTTAGCCAGCTTTTTATTGCATGACAAAATACCTGAGAAAAACATGTAAAAGAGGAAGTTTATTTTGGCTCACAGTCAGAAGTTTCAGTCTGAATGAATGACTGGTTGGCTGGCTCCATTGCTATGAGCCTGTGGTAAGGCAGACTATTATGGTAGAGAGGGCATGGTAGAGCAGAGCTACTCACTTCATGAGAGCCAGAAAGCAGAGAACAAGAGGAAGTGGCTAGGGACAAGATGTACTCTTCATGCCTCCAGTGACCTAGGCCCTACCTCCTACAGTTTCCACCACCTCCCAATAGTTCATTTATTATGAACCCATCAATGGATTAATTCATTCATGAGGTCAGAGCCCTCATGGACCAATCACTTCCCAAAAGCCCCATCTCTGAACATTGTTGTATTGGGGACCAAGCCCTCAACACATAAGTCTTTGAGGGGCATTCCAAATCTAAACTATAATAGCTTAAGAATAGACAGTCCCTGACTTATATGATGGGTCAATTTATGAGTTTTTGACTATATGATGGTGTGAAAGTGATAAGCATTCAATAGAAACTACTTTGAATTTTGAATTTTGATCTTTTTTCTGGGCAATATGCTATATGATATTTCATTCAGTGCTCAATTCTGTGCTAATGTAAGTGTTCTAAGCATATTTAAGGGAAGATAGGCTAATCTCTGACATTTGGTAGGTGAAGCGTATTCAATTCATTTTCAACTTGGAATATTTTCAACTTATAATGGATTTATGGGGTTGTAACCCTTTTTTAAATGAAAGAGCATCTATAATCCCATCTTTAACAAACCTATTTCCAAATAAGCTCACATTCTGAGGTAATAGGAGTCAGGGCCTTAACATCTTTTAACACAATTCAACTCATAACACTGGCTGGCCCACATGTTTCTCCTGATACCCAGAGTCCCCTAATCTATATTTTATCCCTTTCCAGTCACCTTTGCTCTAGTCCCTCTCCTCTGGTTGAGTCTTGTCTCAGCCTTCCTTGCCTGTGTCCCTTCTTTCTGCCTGGACCCTTGTGATTGATACCCCCACCTCCATCCTTTGCCCCCAGGCATGATGATCTGAAAGAGATGTTGGACACCAACAAGGATTCCCTCAAGCTAGAGGCCATGAAGAGGATTGTGGCGGTGAGAGGGGAGGGAAGGGGCCTTCCATAGGGAGGGTCCTGGGTTTAAAGAGCAGCTCTCCTCAGCTTCTTGGACATTCCCCTAATCAGTGCTATGCCTCTTCTCTTCTTCCTCTGCTTTGACCCCACTACCAAGATGATTGCCCGTGGGAAGAATGCCTCAGACCTGTTTCCTGCTGTGGTGAAGAACGTGGCCTGTAAGAATATAGAGGTGAGGAGCACTACCCAGTGAGGGGCCTCCCATCCCCCCAGTGCCAGGGCTAAACTCAAGCCGGATTGGGAATGAGTCAGCTCTTGAGGGCCCAACATGTTCAGAAATGTCCCTGATCCAGAAGACATTGGCTACATATCCCTCAACTGGAGATGGATCAGGGTGAAGGGCCTGAAACATTCTCAAGGATGCTATATCCCCCTGATGAATTTGTCCCAATGGACTGCAACTGACTGGGGTGATGACATCCTGGGAGGTGGATGTACGAGCATCTGATGAAAAAAAATCTCTTGGTGAGAAACCCACTCTCCCCCAGGTGAAGAAGCTTGTCTATGTGTACCTGGTGCGCTACGCTGAGGAACAGCAAGACCTGGCTCTGCTGTCCATCTCCACCTTCCAACGTGGCCTAAAGGTTAGAGATCTCCATTTGCCTTCCTAGGGTCTTAGCTTCATTGGAACTCTGTGGGAAGAGTGGGCCTATATAGAGGCTATGAGCAGGGGAGCAGGCTCTGGAAGTTTCTTCTCACCTGCCAAAATTTAGGGTCTAAGTCAGAGGACAGGACCAGCCAGGAACTCAGAGAGTGGAGGCCAAGCACAGAAGGGGCATGATAGATCAAGTAGGTACTCAGGGCCCATATCTTTCTACCTCTTAGGTGCCTCTGGTAATGATGGTGTCTTAGTCCATTTTCTGTTGCTATAACTGAATACCACAGACTGGGTAATCTATAAAGAATAGAGGTTTATTTGGCTCACAGTTCTGGAGACTGGAAGGCAAGGTTGAGGGGCCATGTCTGGTGAGGAGCTTCTTGCTGGTAGGTATTCTCCAAAGTCCTGAGGTGGCATAGGACATCACATGGTGAGAGGGCCAGATATAAATAACAAAGCCAAATTGGCTTTTATAACAGACCCACTGTTTATATAAGCCATTAACTCATTAATCTGTGAATTTAGAGCCCTCCTGATTTGATCCCCTTTTAAAGGTCCCACCTGATCCTAAGACCTCAAAATGATGATTAAATTTCAACATCAATTTTGGTGGAGACAATCCAACTATATCAGTCTGCCTCCAGTATGAATCACATGAGCCCCTGACACTAGAGAACCCCTTAGTCCCTGCCTCCACTGGTGTAAAGATGTGAATTGTGGCCTGGCTGGGTAGAAGTCAACCTCTGGGGAAGAATTCTGCAGGGGGAGTGACAATCTGGATTCCTCATTCCTTCATGGATAGGTTCACCTGGTTCAGGTATCCATAGAGAACAATGACCGTCAGAACCTTTTTACCTGGAACTCACTAGGGAGAACAGAATGTTTCCTGAGAACAAATGAGCTACACAGAGAACAACAGTTTATCATGCATGAGAGTAGCCTCCACTTAGAGGCTGAGTTCTAAGATCAGCACAAAGGACAAAAACACATAATGTCAAAACTAACCCTGAGAGTTTCATTCTCAATAAGTTTGGTACAGACAATGGTTTCTGAAGAGGTGGAACAAATCAGTCTTTATTCTGTTTAGCACCAGAAGTAGTTGGCTTGTCATGGATGTTTCAGTGTAGTAAAAATGCCTATCTTTAAACACCTGCATCACATCTATTGTGTAATTTGAGGGAGGCAGAAGTTGAAATCACCAAAAGGGAAGGACAACGGGAAAATTCAAATCCTCTAGAATGGGGTGATGAGCTGAATCACCATACTGTTTTAAACTGTGAATATTCTTACCTTTAGTTTTGTTCTGTCCATGATATAGTATTGAATTCATGTATATTAAGTGCATGCATGAGTCTTTAATGGGTGCTTTCTCCAGGGATCTGCAGGAATCCTCCAGGGATCTTCAATGAGGTGTGACTCAGTGGTAGAGCAGTTGCCTATCACGTGCCAGGCTCTAAATTCAATCCCTATCACTCCCTCTCCAGGAAAAAAAAAATTCTTCCAGAGTACAGGCAGCCTTCTTTCTTCACATCAGATTTTCAGCTCTAATTATAGCCTGTAACTTCCCTATTCTTTCCACATTTTTAGTTCAAATACCTGTGAGAGGGACTCTACCTGGCAAGCAGATAATCCATCCTGTTTTTATGCAAACAATCCCTCGAATTGCCTATGAAACCCTACTGTTTTGTTTTATTGGTTTAACACAATATTCAAGCCAAGGTGATTCTGAATTTTAATTTTGTCCCTTTCAACTTTGTGTCCTCCTCCAAGATAAGCTATTTGGAGAGCACAAACTTTGTTCAAATCTTTAGCATATTTTGTTTCCAGGTTGACACCAATCTGTTAATAAACCTTCCCCAACCAATTTTTTTTAACAAGTTGTGGATTCACAATGTTTCACTATGTTTAGCCAGTCAGCATTTTCCTGTCTTATAAGGAAGGATCTTAATCAATAGCAAGAAACAAATTTTTAATATCTTTCATGTACAAAGGGCTGTGGGTAATAGAGATAAAACAGAACTGAATTCTGTTCTTAAAAATGCTTACATATGGGCTGGGGTTGTGGCTCAGTGGTAAAGCACTTGCCTAGCATGTGTGAGGCACTGGGTTTGATTCTTAGCACCACATACAAATAAATAAAATAAAGGTTCATCAACAACTAAAATATATATATATTTTTAAAAAGTTTACATATTAGGTGAAACAGAAGGGCTATATCAAACATGGCAATGCAGAAAATGTTATGAGAGAGTTTCACCAATGCCTGGCTAAAATCAAGATATAGTACTAACATCAACTAGCCTAGCTGCACTATCAAAAAGGCAAACAGATTTTCTTTTGGTGACTCTACATTTATTTCCAAAAATAAAAATGTTTTTTAAAAAAGGAAATCAGGGGGCTGGGGTTGTGGCTCAGCGGTAGAGTGCTCATCTCAGACGCTCGGGGCCCTGGGCTCCATCCTCAGCACCATGTAAAAAATAATTGAGTGAAATAAAGGTATTTTGTCCAACTATAAAATAAATAATAAAAAATAAAAAGAGAACCAGGTTTTAGAAGTTGATGTGTTATGATTTATCTCTAAGGAAATAAAGACTCCTGTTTTTTAAATAAGTGCTTTAAAACCACCTGTTTAAAAATCAGTTCCAGAATTTTTCTAGGGATTGTCATCAATTTCATCTGTGGTTTTGTGACTCTTTCTCCATTTTAGAAAATCAGGGTAACATCTGTCCTCTAGTATTCCAGCATCTTTTCCATTGTCATTCTTCAAGATTAATAATTTTTAGCTGCTGCTCTTGTTGATGACACTAATAGTGGGAAGACAGCCCTAAGCTCTATGATTATAATACAGTGTGTCTAGAGATTATCAGATATATAGAGGATGCAATAGAAGTAAAGAGGAGGGTGCTATGCAGCTACTCTGTCTTAAACACTGTGGAAGAAGAGCAGTTGTTGAGAGGTTGCTGGGAGAGAAGAATTTAAGGGTGACCTCTTTGGAAGAAAGACCAACTTGCATTTGCTGGCAGAACCTCAGGGATAAAAAGACTCTCCAAAAGAACTCAAGGGATTCTGAAGATTTTTTACTTTTTCTGAAAGCAATGCTGCCCCTTGCCACACCTGTCCAGGTGTCATATTTCTTCAGCCAGAGCCAAGAGTCAGTGCCTGCAGGCAATGCCCCCAAATTCTCCAATACTGGCACCTTATCCAGGCTCAGTTCAGGAAGCAGGGATTCAACATCTGGTCGTAGTAGCCAGAAATAGTGACCTCCAGAGGTGTGGTGTCCCCATCCATCAGGGCACTGGTGCCCTCTTACAGCTCTGCCTCCACCTCTGCCCTTAGGATCCCAACCAACTGATTCGTGCCAGTGCCCTCCGCGTCCTTTCTAGCATCCGTGTGCCCATTATAGTGCCCATCATGATGCTAGCCATCAAAGAAGCTGCCTCAGACATGTCACCCTATGTGCGGAAAACTGCTGCCCATGCCATCCCTAAACTCTACAGGTATGTCCCAGCCTTGGCCTTCTCTCCTCAGTGTTCTCACTGGTTCTTAAACTCCAAACTCACCCTGCCTTCTCCCAAGTCTTACAGATTGAGAGTTTAAAATAATATGGGGAGCTGGGGATGTGGCTCAAGCGGTAGCGTGCTCACCTGGCATACTTGCGGCCTGGGTTCAATCCTCAGCACCACATACAAAAACAAAGATGTTGTGTCGCCAATAACTAAAAAATAAATATTAAAAAATTCTCTCTCTCGCTCTCTCTCTCTCTCTCTCTCTCTCTCTCTCTCTCTCTTTAAAAATAAATAAATAAATAAAATAATATGGGAACTGAGTTGGAGGACAGTGGGGGCTCACATCTCTGGATGAATAGGGCTGGGGTACAGGAGGTGAACATGGTTTGGGCAGATACTAAAAAAAATGGGGATAGGAGGGAGTAAATCCTATCAACAATTTCTCCCTCAGTTTGGACTCTGACCAGAAGGACCAACTAATAGAAGTCATTGAGAAGCTTCTGGCTGACAAGACCACGGTGAGTGTAATGGGCACATGGGGGGAGTGGAGAAAATGTTGGAGCAGGTACTGCCCCAGGGTCCTTTGTCCTTCCTGTTCACTTTCTCTTGCCTTTGTTCCCCAGCTGGTGGCAGGCAGCGTGGTGATGGCTTTCGAGGAGGTATGTCCAGAGCGCATTGACCTGATTCACAAAAACTACCGGAAACTCTGTAATTTGCTCATTGACGTGGAGGAATGGGGCCAGGTAGTCATCATCAGCATGCTCACCCGCTATGCCCGCACACAGTTCCTGAGTCCCACCCAGAACGTGAGTAGGCCAGGATCCCAGCCAACCCTGACTTAGGGCAGAGCTAGTAGGTGAATCACCTAAGGAAGGTGCCCACAGGTGCTACTGTCGCCCCCTCCAGGAATCCCTGCTAGAGGAGAACCCTGAGAAAGCCTTCTATGGCTCGGAGGAAGACGAGGCCAAGGGCACTGGGTCTGAGGAGGCGACTGCCACTCCACTACCTGCTCGAAAGCCCTATGTCATGGATCCTGATCACCGGCTTCTGCTACGCAACACCAAGCCACTGCTGCAGAGCCGCAGTGCTGCGGTGGTGATGGCGGTGGCACAGCTCTACTTCCACCTGGCACCCAAGGCAGAGGTGGGCGTCATCGCCAAGGCACTAGTGCGCCTGTTGCGAAGCCACAGGTTGGTGACACCCCACAGCGCCTCCTGACTCCCATACCCTTGCTGTTCTGTAGTCCTGGTGGTATTTCACCCTACTGCACCCTCCTCAACCCTCCTCACCATTCCCACACTGCCCTGCATCCTGCCCTTCTCTTACTGGCTCTCTCCTCCCAACTATTTGACCCACGTGTCTTTCTCCCTACTTACTGCCCCTTGCCTCATCTGAGGGGCCCTGGTACCTCTCACCTGTCCTCTCTGCAGCGAGGTGCAGTACGTAGTACTCCAGAATGTGGCCACCATGTCCATCAAGCGCCGGGTGAGCATACAAGCCGAGCTGACTCTGCCTGGAAGGCTCCTGTGGGCTCTGGAGGCACTATTGCTGGCATAGGGCAAGATGGGGGATTGTTCTTGCTGTGCAAAGTGTGGGAAAGGGAAGATCCCCAAATGCAGGCTAGGAACAAGGCCTGGATCATGAGGGACCACTGAGTGGGGATGCCCAGTGAAAAAAGAACAAGTCAGATCTGAGATGGGGAGGTGAAGACTTGGGAAGGGGAGGGCAGTGGTGAAGCTGGAAGGGTAGTAGGCTCAGTGTCAGGAGGGGAGGGAGGCTCTGGAAGAGTCAGGCCTGGGGATGGACTGAAACTCCCTGGGGATGCTCTCTTGTACCAGGGTATGTTTGAGCCTTACCTGAAGAGCTTCTACATCAGGTCCACTGATCCCACCCAGATTAAGATCCTAAAGGTGAGTGATGGGCCAAGTGCAGTTGGCCTCTCCAGACCCTCCCTATTCCCTCTTCATTCCCACATACTCATTCAAACAGCTGACAGTGGCCACCTTGGTGGTGACCTGTTTCTGGGGCTAAGTCTAGGGCTTCCTATACTGCAGCTGTTTGCTCTGAGAGCCAAAGAGAAGGGGACTGCCCTTTCCCTACTATGCACAAGTTACTCTTCACATAAGAAGTAACTTGATTTTAATAACAACCTTATAAAGTATACATAACCTCCATTTTATAAAAACATAAACTCTGGGAAATGTAGTAACTGCCCCAAGGTCACAAAATTCTCCTGACTCCATACTTTTTCCACAGCAATTTTTTGTGTCCCCCCATGTAGATGGAGCAAGCTAATCAGGGACCCTCCACTAGGACCCTCTGCTAGTGGATGGGTAGGGTCTCTGTCTACTGTGTCTGTTTGGAAAGAGGAGGAGACATTAAGTAGCTAATCATGAGACACATGGAAAAATCTGTTCCTGAAAGATAGTAAAGTGAGAAGAGAGTAGAAAATTATAAAATGTGAAGAAGGACTTTTTCTAGTTGTATTAAGGAAGTTTCCTTGAGAAGTTGAGACTTGAGCTGAGGCTTGAGAAATGAACATGGCTACCTAGGTAAATGCAGAAAAGAACTGTTCCACACAAATGGAAGAGCATATACAAAGACCCTGAGGTAGAGAAGGGCATATAACTGGAGCATAGAGGACAAGTGGGAGAATAGTGGAAAAGGTGAGTCAGTAACAGTCAGATCCTTCAGGGACTTACAGAACTTAGTTTCTATCCTAATAGCAAAAGGAAGCTTTAAGTTTTCAAAGGAGGTAAGAGGTAACATGCTTATACTATAAATATACTCTGTCAGAGAATCCATTTAAGAGGCAAACTGGACCTCTTGCATTTTGGACAAGTTTTGTCATCTTTCAGTTTTCTCATTTACCTAAGCACGATGCAATTCCTGAGAATTGTTTTCTGGTTTGTGAGGTGTGTTTGAAATGAAAACATGGAAACCCCACTGGCCACCCTGCCCACTTTCTGCTCCTCTACCCCTTCCTGCAGCTAGAAGTGTTGACTAACCTGGCCAATGAAACCAACATTCCTACCGTCCTACGGGAATTTCAGGTATGGTTCAGAGAGCAACTCCTATTCAGAGGGTCCCAGGAGGAGGTATCCTTTAATTCTTGCGCTCAGTGACAGTTGCCCCAGTTATGCTTTTCCTATGAGCCCAAAGCTGGAAAAAGTGTTATCTTGTGTCCCCATTCCAATGCCTTCTGCTGACTTTGGGCTAAGGAAGGACTAGATGGGTGTAGGGTTGGGACATCTCTCCCAAGATTAGTCTTTGGCATGATAAGCCATAAAATGAAAGATCAAAATCACCCTAAATTTGCAGAGTCATGAAGGTGCTACCTATGAGATGTTTCTCTCTCACAATGTCCCACAGACTTACATTCGCAGCATGGACAAAGACTTTGTGGCAGCCACCATCCAGGCCATTGGGCGCTGTGCAACTAACATAGGCCGAGTTCGTGACACCTGCCTCAATGGTCTAGTGCAGCTTCTATCCAACCGTGATGGTCAGTGTTTGCCTGTCTAAGTGTCCAACTTTGATTATCAGTGTATGCCTGCATGTCTGACTCTGACTAATGAGTATTCTCTATCTATCTAGGCACAATGTGTGTTCATTGGTCTGTCTGGCTCAGTTAGTGTCTGAGTATTCCTATATTTCTGAAAAGTATGGAGGTTGAGGATAAAAGCCAGTGCCATGAAGGCATTGCAGATGTGTCCACCTAGGTGTGGCCATATGATTATCCCTGGGCCCACATACTCATTCTCCTTCCCTAGAGCTTGTGGTCGCAGAGTCAGTGGTGGTCATTAAAAAGCTGCTTCAGATGCAGCCAGCACAGCATGGAGAGATCATCAAACACCTGGCAAAGCTCACAGACAACATCCAGGTGAGGGAGTAATCCCACGTTTCCCAATCCACCCCAATGTTGTCCCTATGATTTTAAGACCTTATAACTAAATACTCTAGCCCTATCAAAACTCAACTCTGCAAACTTCCACATTGGCTCTAAAAGATCTTCAGGTAGAAGAAAGAGGCTGGATCATGTGATCCTTACCCTGTTGCCTAAGATTTGCCTCCCATTGAGGATCCCTCACTGAGCTCCATAGCCTTTACCACTACTCTCATTTTCTCTCTAAATCTTTGGCCAGGAATGGCTGACTGACAAATTCTGTGTTTCTCTATGTCACTGCTGAGTTGAAAAATCCAAACATGACATTCCTGAAGAATAACATAGCAATAGAGCGATGAGGGACAATGAATCCCAAAAGTCAGTCTTTTAAACCATGACTAACTTTGGGGTCTGAGGCTCTGCCCATTCTAATGAAACCCTAGGGAAGAGGGAAAGTGCTGTCCAGAAAATGCTTACCTCTAACCTCTCTTCCACCTGCCCCACTCCCACTTTCAGAGAACCCAGATGACTATATAGGCCAGCACAAACAAGAGGGATGCCATTTCCTTAGCAGTCCCTATTGCCACTTTTATCCCAGTTCTAACTCCTCTCCTATGCCTACAGGTGCCCATGGCACGAGCCAGCATACTGTGGCTCATCGGAGAGTACTGTGAGCATGTCCCCAGGATGGCACCTGATGTTCTGAGAAAAATGGCCAAGTCATTCACAGCAGAGGAGGACATTGTTAAGCTACAAGTCATCAACCTGGCAGCCAAGCTTTACCTGACCAACTCTAAGCAGGTTAAAGACTCATACACACTCCTCCTATATTCTAGTCCTCAGAAACTGCCTTAGGCAGTGTTCTTTTGGCATACTTCAGGCAGACTTGAACTACAGTCTCTATTTGGGGAAAGGTGAATCAAGGGAGGTGGCTAGTCTTCCTAAATAACTAATGCTACTCCAGTATCCATAACTATTCTGGGGAATCAGGAGCCTGGTAGGGCTAGTGTTCACTGTGGAGAGGCTATCCTGTGAGACTGTGATTCATGTCTGCCAATAGAAGTGTCCCTATCTGCCACCTTTGGAACCCTGGGCTGTGAAGAACCACAGTTGATTGGAACTAATGGAAGGGGCCAGCAGTGACAGGCACTGATGGGGGATACATCCTTGGAAGTACAGGCTTTGCTTCTTCCCAAAGCTTGATGATACATGGCCAACCTGTGATAGGGAAAAGAGAGTAAGTCACTGCTCAGGCTTGGGTGGTACTAGTGATTAACCCCATTCTCAAGGTGAAGGATTCTGAGGGCTACCATAGCCAAGGATGAGGTTTGACTAAAATGGAATATCAGGTGTCAAAAGATTCATGGGTGTCTAGCATTCCCTGAGATGGCTCCAGAGGGTTCTAAGAATAAAGTGTCATGGATAGAACTTTTTCAAGGTATTGGAGACACCAAACACCAGGAAAGTTCCTACCTTCACTATCCCATTCAGTTCATCAAGACAGGAATTGGCAAACTACTGCCCAATGGACCATGTCTTGTCTGCTGCCTGTTTTTGTAAATAAAATTTTGTTTTTGGAACACAGCCATGTTTGTTCAATATGTTTTGTCAATGGCTGTTTTTATGCTACAGTGGCAAAGTTGATGAGTTGAAACTGTAGGCCCCCAAAGCCTATAATAGTTACTTTCTGGTCCTTTATAGAGAAAGTTTGTCAATCTTTGAAGCAAAATGTTTGGGTGAATGGGATCTACAGCAGGGCCATTCCCTGGAGACCGTAGCGTCCTAGCCAGGCCTGAAGGTGGCTTCTTGTCATTCTGTGGGAATCTTTGGATGGTTGCACTTGGCTTCTTCACTAGCTCCTCTGATTCATGGTGACTATCATGAGACCAGGGACTCAAGTGAGGTACATAGAGTCCCCAAGTGTTGGGGTTCTTGTCAGAAGTCCAAAGGATAACATCTACACGGTTGTTGCTGCCATATGGAAGCAACAAAGTACTACGTCTTGGTATTGTATGGAAGTAAATTAGAGAGAGAGAAGTTAGAGGGAGCACCCTGGGGAAGTATTCCATCAAATGTTTGTGTTCTTTCTTTGTTCAGATGAGAGGAAGGAGCAGGTTGAAGGAACATTTGAAATGATGAAACTGGGCTGGGATGTGGAGTGTAGCTCAGTGATAGAACATGTTTACATGCATAAGGCCCTGGTACACCCAGGAAAGGGTGGGGAGCTGCCCAGGTAGTAGGGGTGGAGGGAGTCTGACATGCCTAGGACTAAACCGCAGTCCTGAGACCCAGGGACTAATCTATGGAGAGGTTGGCATGTTTTCATAAGCCTGGTCCTGCCCAATGTTGGATGGTGGCACTTGATTTCTGGAGTCACTATTCTGATTCATGGTGACTAGCATGAGCCCCAGCCTCAAGCTGAGGTAGGAAGAACCACCAAGTCCTGGGACTCTTAAAAAGTTGTCACTATCAACTACATGTGCATTTGTTTGTTCGTTAATTTAACACACATTTCCTGAGTGCCTGCTATTTACCCAGCACTTAGCTATGTTCTGGGGATTTGAGAATGTATACATGTTTACTAGCATCTAAATGCTCATAATTAAGTAAGAGAAACAGCATAAAAATAAACATTTTAAATACAAAGTAGTAAGAATTACAGTCAGGGTTAATGCAGAGAGCTGTGGATATATACAGCTAAACCCCTCTCCTAGGCAAGATATGAAGGATCCCATCCCCCACCAGGACACCCAGTATGTGCTGTTCAGGCAAATGACTCTGACCCCAAACTGTCCTTCTCCCTTCTTTCTTCCCAGCCTGTTCTGAAAGTGGTGGAGAACAGGGAATCTTTGCATACTAGGAGGCAGGTAGCTTGGGTATACACATGGCCATCCTTGCAATACAGCAATGATCCTTCCCTCATCTTGGTACCATAAATAACAATCTGCCTCTGCTGCAAGGCCAGAGCAATCCGAGTCATTCCTCCCTCCTTACTGATTCTGCTGCATGCCAGGTCCAGATCAGGCTGAGACCAAGAGGATTACCAAGATGGTGACTGTGTCCTATGATTCATTATAGATAATCAGATTCTGTTACACACAGGCTCAATAGATAAAAGTGACAGAGGGTTTGATGGACTGGTAAAGAAAGTGGTTATTCAGCCACCTGGTTATAGCATGTGGGATAACTGCCTGGAATGCTTTTGGCGGGTGCTTTTATGTCAAGTGAGTTGTTCATTTGTAAATTGTCCAATATTTTGGGACTGGGATTGTGGCTCAGTAGTAGAGCGCTTGCCTGATATGTGTAAGGCACTAGGTTCAATTCTCAGCACCACATTAGCAACAACTAAAAAAATTTTTTTTAATAATTTAAAAAATTGTCTAATATTTTAATCTTTTCATTTCTGTTTTCTTCCAGTACTTTCATGTTTAGAAAGTTTTATTAATATTTATTTTTTAGTCTTGAGTGGACACAATATCTTTATTTTACTTTTATATGGTGCTGAGGATCGAACCCAGTGCCTCATGCATGCTAGGGGAGTGCTCTATCTCTGAGCCACAACCCCAGCCCTAGAAAGTTTTTAATATTCACATATCAGTTATATTTTTCATTTACAATTTCCTCCAAACTTTTTCTGGTTTCATATTTTTAAATCCATTATATCAGTTTTCTACTGTTTCAGACAAGACAGAGTTATTTTCTCTCAGTTTCTAAACATCAGGGTCCATGAATGATTTTGTTAGGTCTTATGCAAGGCTACCATAGAGCTACATCCATATAGAATGTGTTTTTACTTAAAGGTTCTGGAGGGAAGGATTCACTTTTAAGCTCATATGGTAGCCAGTTTTGTTCCTCAAGGTTATAGGGCTGAGGCCCTGGCTTCTTGCTGGCAGTTAGCTGGAGAACACCCTTAGCTTCTGGAGGCTGCTATCAACTGCTTCCACATAGGCCTCCCAGTGTGACACTTTTTTCTTAAAAACCAGAACCTGGCTGCAAGCAAGACAGAGTCTTCTATCCCTGTCACCTTTGCTGCATTCTATTGATCAGAAGCAAGTTCCAGGTCTTGCCTACACTAAGGTGAAGTAATTACACAAAGGTGCAAATACTGGTAAACAGGGACTGGTAGGAAAGACCACAAAGTCTGTGTGCCATACCCATATAGAATGTATTTTTGTGTAGTTTGTGAATTGAGGATGTGTTTTAATTATTTTTATTTTAATTTTGAATTGTTTTCGGTTCTAGGGATTGAACCCAAAGGTACTTTATCAGTGAGCTACACATTTTTGTTTTTCATTTTGAGACAGGGTCTTGCTAAGTTGCTAAGGGTCTCAAGGAGTTGCTGAGGCTGGCCTTGAACCTGTGATCCTCTTGCCTGAGCCTTTATTTATTTATTTATTTATTTATTTTTAATACTGAGAATTGAACCCAGAGCACTTTACCACTGAGCCAAATACCCAGCCCTGTTTTCATTTTTTAATTTTTATGTTGAGACAGGATCTCACTAAGTTGCTTAGGGCCTTGTTAAGTTGTTGAGGCTGATTTTGAACTTGCAATCTTCCTGCCTTGGTCACCTGAACCACTGGGATTATAGGCATACACCATCATGCTTGGCTATTTTAGTATTTTTTTAGAAAACATTTATTTTTTTTAGCTGTAGACAATACCCTTATTTACTTATTTTTATGTGGTGCTGAGGATTGAACCCAGGGCCTTGCATGTGCTAGGCAAGTGTTTTAGTATTTTTTATATGGTCAGTTTTCACAGAATAATAAGTAGTTGCAAGGTGTATGTTAACATAGGTTATTGAAAGGAAGTCAGTATTCTCCACTTCCATGGCAACTTGGGTCCATTGGTCAGTGGAAGACTTTTCTGTTCTTAAAGTATATCTCCTAGGCTCTCTTGAGCAGCCTTGTAATTCCCATACATCCTGGTGAGCTGAGGTGGGTGTCCTAATGGTGCAGACTGGATACCATAATCCCTGGAGAATAGGTTGTTAGGATGCAGAAGGGTAATGAATTGTAATCAGCAGATCCTACAGTGAGAAGGTGGACCAGCCCCTTCTTATGTGGGTTGTTGACATACAGTTAAGGCTGTGGACAGATGAATCCAAATCCCAAAACAATTCTTTCTAGAATGAGGCAAGGAATGAAGAGGATTTATGATAAGTCAGCTGGAAAGTGTGTGAAAGAGGATACCATCCTAAACTAAAAATAGGATCGACAGCATCTTGATAATGGACTACACAGATAAGGACATCTGCTATCCTTGGTTGGTCAGATAATGTCTGGCAAAAGGAGGGGCAGTCTATAATGAAATCCATTATGATATTGCCCTATTTTCATGTTTTAAGATCTATTGCATTAGGGGAGAGAATGAGGTTAGAGATATTTATTTGTGACTAGAACTGTATTGCAGGCGCTCTTATGCTGGAAGGGACTGAGCTGAACATCAGGCCATCAAAGTCCCTGTAGGCTCTGAGGTAGATTGGAGTGGAGTTACAGTGGTTCCCTAAAGTGATGTGGGGGGAATTCTGCCACATCAGCTGCTCTCATTCTGGGTTAGCATCTAGGGGGCTCTGCCCCTCACGGACATCTGCCTGATAGCTCTTCTAGATTAGCTAGGTCAGCTGTATCCAAGTAAGGATGTGACAGTATGTCATCATAAATCTTAGGAAGACCTGAGTCCGTTCCAGGTATCATCCTGCTGGTCCCCACTGCGTCCAGGAACTTTGGCTATTGACTCCTTGGTGTTTTTGATCTTGGTCACAGGAGATGGAGATATGGAGACCTAGGTCAGGGAAGCCCCCTTACGTCAACATATAAGTAGAGGGGGAAGTAGGGCTCCAGAGGGACAGGTTTGAATGCAGAGCTGATGGATTTCTCAACCTGGGAGGTCACTTAATGATTTTACTTCTTCTCTATAAAATAAGGCAGAAGGGCTGTAGAGACTATATGAGATAGTTGGAGCACATAGTACAGTGCCTAGTACCAGAAAGAACTCCATAAATGATGACCACTGGGCTGGGGATGTGGCTCAAGCGGTAGCACGCTCGCCTGGCATGCGTGCGGCCCAGGTTCGATCCTCAGCACCACATACAAACAAAGATGTTGTGTCCGCCGAGAACTAAAAAATAAATATTAAAAATTCTCTCTCTCTCTCTCTCTCTCTCTCTCTCTCTTTAAAAAAAAAATGATGACCACCACCACTCTCATTGTGATAAGTAAAGCAGGTTAGATTAAGCCAAGACCAGGGCGGAAATTGAGACTTTAGGTCCTTGGATATAATAGCTGCCTTCACTGCACACTATGAATTCCATGTGATCTCAGCAAACTCATAAGCAACTGCTGTTTGCTCTGATCTTATGACAGCCTTCCAGGAAAAGATTGGTGCCTCCAGGACCCCTAGGCTACACTGAAACTTTTATGTGGTTTGACAGGGCAGGTACGCAGCGCCTGCCAAAGTGATCTCCATTTATGTCCCCCTCTTTGTGTTGTTTACTTTTTCCATGGCTGGTGGAGCCTGGAAACCATGAGGTCTAGCAGAATGTTCCAGGCTTCCACTCACCCTGCTTCTCCAGAGTAGAGATTGAAGTGGAGGGGACCATAAACCTGAGGAAGAATGGAGTCTGGGGCCAAGAAACAATAGAGTCTAAAAGAGAAACCTCGCCAAGGTAGTTGTCATAGTTGGGAGCAGGAGTCAGAGCCAGAGAGATTAAATGAAACTGAAATGTGAACCCTGCGGCCATGACAGATGGGGAGGAAAAGTTGGATGTGGGCAGGCGGTTGTAATTGAGGAGAGAAACTCTGCTTGGAGATGTCAACTGAAAGAAGCTGAATCAGAGCCTCCTGTGCTCCGATCCTTTCTGTTTGCTGCTGAGCCACCTCATCTTCTTCCTCCAGACCAAGCTGCTGACCCAATATGTGCTGAGTCTGGCCAAATATGACCAGAACTACGACATCCGAGACCGAGCACGCTTCACCCGGCAGCTCATCGTCCCTTCAGAGCAGGGTGGGGCCCTCAGCCGCCATGCCAAGAAGCTCTTCCTGGCACCCAAGCCAGCCCCAGTCTTGGAGTCATCCTTCAAAGGTAAAAGCAGAAATCAAGAGAAACTTCCCCAGGGGAAAGCTGGAATTGGCCAGGTCCCCAGCCCCAGCCCTTCCCTGAGGTCCCAGCCTTAGGATTCTATGGGCAGAATTTCAGGGAAATGCCAGTCCTGGCCCTGGATTATCTCTTTTACCCACTCACAACCACCAGATATATCATCTCACCTGAGTGTATGCCCTCAGGATGGGGTTCTGAATCCTCTCTTACTCTCAGGCTCCCTTTCTGCCTTTCTTGAGTATGCTGAAGGCTTGAGAATCTATATTCAGAAGCTAAATACCAAAGACACAGGAAGGCAGGAAGAAAAACAGCATATGAGAGAGGTGTATATTTATAAGGGGTTCTGAGATGTAGTTGCCAGAACTGTACATAATCATTCGAGATCAGCCCAGATCACTGGCCCCAGGCCTTCAGCTTGACCTCTGTTCATGGGTTTGGTCTGGGAAGGGTCCTCCAGCTGCCTCTCAGGCACTGAATTCAAGAGGGCAGTAGTCCCTTTCTGCCCCAACACTTGGCTCATACATAGGTCTCTGGGTTGCCTTCCTACACCAGCTGCCCTACCTCTGACTCAAACTCCTTTCCACTCCCATTCTGGCTGCTCAGCTCTCCACACTGTGTCCAGAGCTAAACCAGACATGCCTCCTCCCCCTTGGTCCAGCCTGACCAGCCTCTTATTCACAGCTGTCAGACAGTTTATCCCACTTTGGCCTCCTTCCAAAGCCTGGCTTTGCCCTGAAAGTGAAGCCATACTCTCCATTCTGCTTCCTCACAGAGAAGATCCAAACAGGCCAGCAGCATCACTGGGCCCAGAGTTTCCTTCTGCCTGCTTCTGCAGGTCCACCTATAGCAATCCTCAGTCTCTGGACTGGCCTGGCTGGCAGCTTTTTCTTCCAGCATGTGGGCCTGAAGGTGCAGTTAGAGTGCTGAAGCCATTAGAGGACACATCCATTTCCTTCTCCTAAAGAGCTAGGGAGCCCTGACTAGAATCACCACGTAGCCCCAGTAGAAGACAACTCCTAAGTCATTCCTAGTTGCCACTTCTGATTTCTAAATTTGTCTCCAGACCGGGACCACTTCCAACTGGGCTCACTATCCCACCTGCTCAATGCCAAGGCCACAGGATACCAAGAGCTTCCAGACTGGCCAGAGGAAGCCCCCGACCCGTCTGTGCGCAATGTGGAGGTCAGCGAGGTCGAAGGTGGAATTGTATATGTGTGTATGTGTGAGGGAGAAAAAGAGAGAAAGAGATGGATGTAGGGGAGGCAGGCAGCAGGGAGTACTGACAGTGTTGGCCCAGTCTTCCTGATACCATCCCTATACACAGGAAGAAGACCTCTTCCTTATTGAGACCCACGTGGGCCTGTTGGGCGAATACACCGAGGTCCCCTCTGTGTGCTGTGTACTCTCCTCTGTGCCCCATACTGTACTCCCTATCCTTATGTGCTATACCCCCAGCCTTCTCTACACTGTTTCTTCCTTGGTTGAGCAGTATCCCTCTGTGGTTTGTGCCCCTCTTCCCCATTACTCCCTTTTGGGGACAGGATCAGCCAGGGCCCCCAAAAGAGGTATGGTGAAGGGTCAAAAGAACCTGTACTTTCCTTTCCCCCCCCCTCTGACAATGAGGAAATGACCCTCCATCCCACCCCCCATCTCCAGGTACCTGAATGGACCAAGTGCTCAAACCGGGAGAAAAGGAAGGAGAAGGAAAAGCCCTTCTACTCAGACTCTGAGGGGGAATCTGGCCCCACAGAGTCTGCAGACAGTGGTGAGGAGACAGGCAGAGCTGGAGTCCTCTGTGCTTCTGCCCACATACATGCCTGTGTGTCCGAGGGAACTCTGTGTGTGCATTTGTATGGTCAGTGACCTAGGGGTGTATACCTACTTGTGTACCTAAGGGATTCATTTTCATATATATATGTGCTTATGAATAGCAGCATCTATTCATATGTGTCTACCTTTGCCCTTGTCAATTCCAATTGGCATCTGGGGCTGGGAGCAGGTCAGAGGGTTTTAAGGCTTCAGAGCTGAGTCTAAAGCTGGGAACGTGGGCACCTGCTTTGGACCTAGGGAGGCCTGCATATGAAGGAGAGAGACCTAATACCATTTCTCCACAGAGCCTGAATCTGAGAGTGAATCGGACAGTAAGAGCAGCAGTGAGAGTGGCTCTGGGGAGTCTAGCAGTGAGTCTGACAATGAAGACCAGGATGAGGATGAGGACAAAGGGAGAGGCAGTGAGAGGTAAGAGGAGAATGAGTCAGATGGCTAGTGAGGTTCACAGGTTTCCCCTGGATATAAAAAGCTTATGCTTAGCTTTAGTCAGCCTCCTATGAGGTCCTGAGCTCCTCATGAGTGCTGGGGGCCAGCAGACCACCCATGGGTCAGCTCACATGCTGGTTGCTTTGGTCAGCTGCAGAAAGCCTCTGAGACCTCATGGAAATGGTAAGAAGCAATCAGAGCCTTAACTGGTAAGGGTGGTTTAAAACTCTTATGGGGGCCAGACATAGGAGCCCAAGTATGGGTTCTACTGGCCCAGATTCCCCAGCTCCCTGCCATTTTTCAGGACTTCTTCTGGTCTTCTATGAGGCAAGAAGGGGGTATCCAGGCTGGCCTGAGCCCTGTTTTCCCCCTCTCTCCTCCAGTGAACAGAGTGAGGAGGAAGGTGAGAAGAAGAAGAGAAAGAAGAGGAAGAAGTTGCCAGAGGGACATGGAGAAGACTCCTCCTCAGATGAGGGCAGTGATTCCAGCAGTAGCTCCTCAGAGTCCGAGGTGACTTCAGAGTCTGAGGAGGAGCAAGATGAACCTGCCTCCTGGAAGAGGAAAACAGTGAGGGCCTTACCAATGTTCTCCCTGCCCTCTGAACCAGACCCTAACATCTCCTGTTATCTGAAACAGGCCATGCTCTTTCACTCAACCCATTACAGACCAGGTGCTTCCTTTCCTCACACCCACAATCTATTTTTCTCTTTTAGCCTCCCAGCAGCAAAAGTGCCCCAGCAGCCAAGGAGATCTCCTTGCTTGATCTAGAAGACTGTGAGTTTGGGTGTTGGAAGTCACATCAGGGAGGAGGTCAAGGGATTCAGAGCCACTTAAGCTCTGAATCAGGTTCCTAAGGTCTGGGGTTGGGGTATAGGGTGGGCATTTTCCTCCAGGCTGTCATGTGTATCACTGTTCATGGTGCCAAATGGTTGCTTCTTGCATTCTGGGCTCCCCATTCAACCCAAGCTAGCTTTGCCTCTGCCTCATCATAATCTTATGTCCTCCCACAGTCACCCCTCCCAGCATCCAGCCTGTGTCTCCTCCCACGGTTGTGTCCACTAGTCTGGCTGCTGACCTGGAGGGCCTGACACTCACAGACTCCTCTCTGGTACCTTCGGTGAGTAGGACTGGAGAGGGACTGAGCTGAGGGAAGGGACCCATCTCCATGATGCATCCTGTGGTGTGAATTTGTATGTGAGAGGAGATATGATAGAGGGGATAGCTTTGACTCCCAGTTGCAGGATGGCCCTTGGTAGGGGCAAGGCTGGGACAGACTCTTTTCTTCCTCCTCCACCACTCTAGCTGCTGAGTCCAGTGCCGGGTGTTGGCAGACAGGAGCTGCTGCACAGAGTAGCTGGCGAGGGGCTGGCTGTGGACTATGCCTTCAGCCGCCAACCTTTCTCTGGGGATCCCCACATGGTGTCTGTGCACATCTACTTCTCCAACAGCTCTGAGACTCCCATCAAGGGCCTACATGTGGGCACCCCCAAACTGCCTGCTGGCATCAGCATCCAAGAATTTCCAGAAATTGGTACAGAAGGGCTTTGCAGAGGGAGGAGGAGGAGGCTTCTGGGAAGAGACAATCTTTTTGTGGTTGATAATTTTTGAGACAAGCAAGGGGCCTGGCTATGGGGACACAGTGATTGTATCTAACATGATCCATAACGTGGTGGATGAGATAGATTAGGAAACAAGCAAGTTTGTATAAGGGCAGGAAGTACTTGCAGCAGAAGATTTAAGCCTTGGTTGCTTTATAACTGAATTAAATGGGCTTAAGTTAGGTGAGGGAAGACATTTAGATACAAGGAGGAAACTAGAGATGATCTGCAGGGACCCAGAAATCTAGGATTCCATAGAGAACTGGTCGGCTTTGACTGGGAGGGGAGAATGGGGCTTGACTGGGCTCCAAGCCTATCAGGTGATGGTGTCTCCGCTCCCCCTTTCCCTTCCTCACATCACTCAGAGTCGCTGGCACCTGGAGAATCTGCCACTGCTATAATGGGCATTAATTTCTGTGACTCAACCCAGGCAGCCAACTTCCAGCTGTGGTATGTGTCCAACTCATATAGGGGTGGAAGGGTGGGCTGGAAAGAAGCAACATCAAAGTGAATCAGAGATGGAGGTGAGGGTAGGTGGGGCTACATCAGGATTGGGTGGGTCTGGCAGCCATCTGAAGCCCTCAGTGAGGTCTGACCTCTCTCTTCTGTTGCCTTCACATCCTGCCTCTGAGGGAGTGGGGGTGGATGGGTGAGGGGGAGAGATGCTAACCTCACTTCTTCTCTCTTTCCACTCTTCCCAGCACCCAAACCCGACAGTTCTACGTCTCCATTCAGCCACCTGTTGGGGAGCTGATGGCCCCTGTATTCATGAGTGAGAATGAATTCAAGAAGGAGCAGGGTAAGCAAGCACTCCCTGGGAGTGGGTAAAGAGGAGCTCAGCACCACCCACTACTGTTAAGTTCCACAGTTCAGATGTGTGGGGAAAATCTCAGCTCCCTCAAACAGAGACCCTATAATTTGTGCCTCTAGAAAAGCCTTTACAGATACTGAGGCATTCTGGTGAGGCTTTGGAAAGACTCAGTCAGGCAGAAACATTAGGACACCTCATTCCAGGTGGGGAAACAGCACATGCAGAACTATGGTGTTGAGTGTTGGGGGCAGATTGGTTTGGGGCATAGGAGTCCCTGGCATAGAGGATTAGTAAAAACAAAGCTAAAAAGCAATATGTGTTTGGTTTCTAATTTTTAGGAATTTTGAATGCCATGCTAAAGGATTGCAGTTCTAGAATTTTGGAGTTGAAAGCAGTCCTAGAGAGATATGACTGCAGACTTTATTTTCCTAGTAGTAGAGAAGTCACTGAAGGAAGGTGCAGATTCAATCCTTGGCTTTAAAAGAGAAATCTGACAGTACTAGCAGCTAGGATTGGAAGGGCCTGTAGAGAAGAAAAAAAAAAAAAGAGGCAGCCCAGCACAAATGAGGGAAATAAGGGGCCTCATGAGCCCTAGCTATTATTTCTGAACTTCTATTCTCTTGGTGTACAATCTTGGGCTAAATTCTGTACCTATACAGTTATTGCAGTAGATCAGATGAGAGATGGTGAGGCAAGGGTCAGAGCTATGGCAAAGAGAAAGAAGGCCTGAGGGTGAATGTTGAGATTGGGAAGAGAGAAGCCATGGGTAGCTGCCCTGAGAGGGAGGAGAGGTGATATATTAGCATATTCTAGAATTTCTGGCTTGGATAGTAGGAAGATAAGTAATGCCCTTCATCTAGAACAGGGTTTGGTGAATTTTTTCTGTAATGGATCATAAAGTAACTGTTTCAGGCTTTCAGGGTTATGTGGTCTCTGTTTCAGTTATTCAGCTTTGCTGTTGTAACACACAAGTAGCCATAGACAAGATATAAATGAATGATTGTGGCAGTGTTCCAATAACATCTCACTTACAGATACTGAAATTTCAAGTTTATTTAATTTTCATATGTCACAAAATACTAATATTCTTTTGACTTTTTCTCCCAATATTTCAAAAACATAGACACCATTGTGGGCCTTATAGGTGGTGGCTGATTTGGCCTATAGGCTATAGTTTGACCAAAGTCTGATCTAGAAGAAAGAACAGATTGAGTAAGGCAAGAGGAAAGATCATGGTTAGTTTTGTGAAAGCTAATTTTGAAGTGCATGTGGGAAGTTGAAGAGGAGTCAGTATGCCACTGAACATTGGGGTCTGTGTCCAGGACACACTTAAATCCTGGAGTCATGAGCATAGAGGCCACAATGGAAGCTGTGAGTATGGATGAGATCACCCTGGCAGAGAGAGTTGGGGAGGGGTGATAAGAAGCCAAGGATAGAACCTTGAGGAGAATCTTTATTCTACAGATAAAAGGGAGGTGAATATGGGGGCTGGGATTGTGGCTCAGTGGTGGAGCATTCGCCTAGCATGAATGAGGCACTGGGTTTGATCCTCAGCACCACATAAATGTAAGGTGAAGATATTTTGTCCACTTAAACCTAAAAAATAAATAAATAAATATTTTTAAAAAATGACAGTGTGTACTCAGAACTTTTTTTAAAAAAAGGAGGTGAATAGGAAGAAGAGCAGAGGGAGGTAAGGGGGAGAATTAGGAGACATGATAAGACAGCAGTGTGCTTTGGGCTGGTCTACAGGCCATGATGACCAAAAACCTGCAGATCCAGCATCTAGAAGACCACTGTCATCCTCACAGAGAGCAAGTCACTACTAAAGGAATCCAGAAGCTAGTTGTAGTGAGTAGGAGGGAGACCAAGGCCTTGAGGTAATGAAGTCCTTTTTGGAAGAGTTTGGTCATGAATAAGGAAGAAGACAAGAAATTGGCATGATGAAGGTATTCTCTTCCAGAATAGTTTTTTAGAAATGGAGAGACTTGAACATGGACAGACTGAGGTACCATGGCAAGATATTAATAGCTAAGAATGGAAGGGGTGGAAGAAACAGGAGGGGCATGTCAGTTGTCTGAAGGAGAAGGATAATGGGATAGGGGAGAAACTGAAGAGCAGGCCTGTGGTGTGCAGGAAGGCAGAGAAAGGTGTTCATAGTTGACCAAGAGCTTGTGAGTGAAGAGAGAGGTCACCCTGTAGAGTAAGAGGTTCTGGGGATGCTGTAAGGGTCTGGGGGTTTCAGGAACTGCTTTGGTAGAGGTTCAATTAAGGCACAATCTATGAGGCTTATATATGACTCCTGGACTCTGGTCAGGAGCCTAGCAACCACTGTCATCTCTTTGTGAGGGCTTAACTTCCAGGAGCTGGAAGAAGTTGACTGGATTGGAGAGTCACATCGGAAAGACCAAAAAGCGTGGGATCCATGGTGGGAGAAACTTCTAGAACTGTCTGGCCACCAGGTTTAGTGGCCACTCCCAAGGGACTTGAAGCCCAGATGTCTGACAGCAGGAGGCACCAACAGTCTTTAGTCAGCACCATAGATAAAGCCCTGAGTGGAGGCAGGAAGGCTAGGCCAGACACCAAGGGCCCAAAGTCAAAGAGGGAGATGCTGAACTTCCCTTAGCATGAGCCCCACCCAGCCTAGAAGAACTGAATAAGAATAATCAGCAAACAGGTGCGAGTGCCAGCATCAGTGCCCACTACAACTTCTGTCATTATCATGACCTCTACCCCTAGGAAAGCTGACTGGCATGAATGAGATCACAGAGAAACTCACGCTGCCAGATGCCTGTCGAAGTGACCACATAGTGGTACAGAAAGTGACTGCCACTGCCAACCTGGGTCGTGTTCCTTGCGGGACATCTGATGAGTATAGGTACTGGTAAAGGGGAAGTAAAGGGTTCTTGTGGGGTATGACTTAAAGGAGGGATCCCAAGCCCTAGAGGTAAGACCTTTCCAAATACAGTCACAATTAGCAGCTCTTCCCCAACCCCTTTCTCTACTCCTATCTCAGGTTTGCAGGGAGGACACTGACCAGTGGGAGCCTGGTTCTGCTGACTCTGGATGCCCGGCCAACTGGAACTGCCCAGCTGATTGTCAACAGTGAGAAGATGGTGATTGGTACCATGCTGGTGAAGGATGTTATTCAAGCTCTTACCCAGTAACTCCCAAATGCTGTGATGCTGAGACCTCTTTGGTCCTCACATACCCTTCTTCCATGACATCTAAGATATTAGTCCCTTTCTTTCTCTTTCTTTGTGTCCTATCATCTTCCTCATGCCAGATAGCATCTGGAATGGGGTCTTCTCTCCCTCAGTAGTCTTTACTATGCCTTCCCCAAAACCCTTCCTCATGGGTTCCTCAGTGACCTGTGTAGAGGGAGACAGTATCTGCTGTCTTCAGCCCTTCTAGCTTTCTGTAGCTATTTGTGTAGTAAAATCTCAATAAAATATCTTCTCCCTAGATATTGATTTACCTTTCCTTCTAAGAGTGGCTGGCCCTTGTGACCTTGTAAGGGAGGCTATGGTTGGATCCTCAAGGTGACCTTCTCTAGGTTAGGAGGGTATAGGCATCTTTGTGGAAGGACATCTGGGTAGAGATGAGGAAGCCAAACCAGAATTACTCTTTGGTCCTTCAGTGCAGAAGCAAGTCGTCTTCAATGTTTGTCATGTCCCTTGGTTTCCTTCTCGGACCCTTGGGTAGAAAGGACTCATAATATGGGAAATTCCTTAAACAAAAGTATGCAGCTCAAAATATGTCAAATTGCATCTGGATACAGAACCTGGAAGCCCCACCTGACTAGAGAGATGACTGAACTGGCCATCTTAGAAGGGAAAGAAAAGAAGATATAGAACCATGCTTCTCAAACTGCCTTGCATTCATCACTTGGGGGTCCTACTAACAAGCAGATTCTGATCAGTAGTTCATGGGTGGGGCCTAAGATTCTGCATTTCTAACAAAGTACCAGCTGCCAATGCTGCTGTTCCATGGTCACAATTGAGTAGTAATAATTAGAGCCTCCACACCTGTGACAAACCTGGTGGCCCTCCCTGACACCTTTCCTGTTGAGAAGAGGTTGAGTAAACAATGTAAGAGGCATTCCATTACCATGTGTTCTGCCCCACCAAAAGAAAACAAACAAGAAAAAAAAGAAAAAAGGTCTATTATCAAATAAGTTTAGAATGAAACATTAATTTAAATAAAATGAATTTAAGTGAATATTTCCATGCACCTTCTCTGAGCCTTTACTATGCTAATGTGCATATGACCACCCCTCTCCCCAAAGTGGGGCTACAGTTTGCAGTGTACCTAAGCCTGGCTTTGACTTTGGAATATTTTTTCAATAGAACATTTTGGTTGACTGAGTTATAAGGAACACATTCCAGTAACAGCTGGAGATGTGGTGCCTCAGCTTCTAATCCTCCATGACCAAGGCTCTAGATCCTTGGCCATGCCCTCCCACATCCCTGTCATGTAAGCATCCCTGAGTCTGTCTGTTCAGGGATAAGCCATGGTGAAACAGATGTGAGCCTCCTCTTAAGAAGAGAGAAAAAAAGCAGTGTCAGGGAATAGCTATGCCTCTGACTCTGGGGAATTGATGGGCATAGTGGCACCAGAGTGCAGCTGGAGCTACTGCTTTCCTGAGAGCTTTGGGGCCCCACAGTCTCCCAAAGATCACTATTTTTGTAACTGAAGGTTCTGAGATGGGATTTGAATGGTGGACACTTTTTCACTTTTGCCTCTGAATTGGCACTAAGATGGTAGAGGAGATTTTTTTAAAGAAATGTGAACAAGGACCATTAGAGAATTCCTTATAGGCCTTTATTGTACACTCACCTTCAATTGTGATCTGTGGTAGCCAGTCTCCAAGATGGCCCCAGTGATTCTTGCTTCCTGGTATTGTACTTTTATGTCATTCCCTCCCACATTTTTATCAGAGTTGGTGTGTGCACACAACAGAATACAAGTAATGGTATATCATTTCTAAGATTAGTTTATAAAAGGCATTGTGCCTTCATCTCAGTCTCACACCCTCTTCTCTCTGTGATCATTTGCTCTGGAGAAAGTCAACTGCCATGTCGTAGGCAGCCCAACAGAGAAGTCCAAGACAAGGAACTGAGGCCTTTGCCAGCACCCACTTGAATGAACTTGGAAGCAGATCTTCCAATCCTAGGTAAAGCTGAAAATGCCTGTAGTTCTAGCTAACATGAGAGATCCTGAGCCAGAACCACCTAGCTTAGCCATTGTTAGATTCCTGACTCTCAGAAATGGTGAAATAATAAATTTTTATTGTTTTAAGCTGCTTAGTCTCCAAACTGGGTATAATGTGTAATGAAGCAGCAATAAATAACTAATATAATCCAGCCTTCAAACCACCTCCAAGGATGTTGGAAAAGTTCTCAGAAGGAGCTTGAGACTGCAGTCTGCAGAGCAAGTGCTTCCACTGTCAGTGTCTGAGTGGTGTGCTGGAGCTGGTTCATCTCGGCTCATGAGGCGAACAGTTATTACAGTTTTCAAGAATTTGTGAGCCAGATGACGTCACACTGGCAATTTGAAATCAGCCATGGTGAGAGTGTTTACATCAGGGAAAGAGTCAAATATTACAAACCAGTCCTCCTTCCCCCAGCCAATTATCATTTACCAGCATTTTATTGCCCTGGATGACTCCTACTCCTTGTAGCTTTGAAAAGTTATATTTTAAGTTTAAAGAATAAAATAACCACCTTTATACTGATCACCCAATTTAAGACTGAAGCACTTATCAATCCAGTCAATACCCCCATCTCTCCACCCCACCCCCCACCATTTCATAAGCTCTTCCTTTCCCACCTGAACTAAATTATCATTCTGCATTTTCTGTTATCAATGCCATGAATTTATGAATGTGTTCATATATATATACACATATATGAATGTGTTCATGTATATATATATATATATATACTCACATATATATACACATACATACATACTTTGTTATAGTAGTGTACTGCATGTTTTAAATTTTTATATAAATAGCATCTTAAAATATGTATTTCCTGAATCTTTGCTTTTTTCACCCAATATCAAGACATGCTGATGTGATTAGCTTTATTTCTTTTATATATATATGTGTGTGTGTATAATTTCATTGTATGATTATACCACCATTTATTGATCCACTCTCCTGTTGGTGGATATTTAAGTCTGTTAATTTGTTTTGTTTTTGCAACTATAACAAAATAGCTATGAGCATTTTTACTCATGCCTCTTTAAACATGTATGAAAGCTTCTTTCATGTATTTTCCTAGAAGTAGAATTGGTGGGTCACAGAGTAATACACTTTTTTAACTTAACTAGATAATGTCAAATTGCTCACCAGACTACTGTTTCAAGAATGTTTATTGAAGTTTTAATCATAATAGTCTCCAAACTGAAAACAATTCAAATTCCAAGGAGAATGGAGAAATAAATAATTTCCATACAACAGAATACCACTTAGCAACATGGATGGATCCTACAGATATATTGAATGAAGTTCATAATAGGTAAACAAGTCTGTGATGAGGCTCCCCTGCCTGAGCCTCCTGTGCTCAGTTACCTCAAGTAATGAGGAGGGGCATGATAAAGCCCCAGAGGGTTGGTGATGGCCGGGTGGAAAAAGTCTAGTTCTTGATGTAAATGGTAGATACCTGGGTGTACATGTAGATAAGAAGTCACTGAAATTTACATTTAAGACTCTCTACTATATGAGTATGGTATAAAAAGTGTGAAAAATAAAACCCCAATGAATATGGCTGAACCAGTTTCTACATTCACTAACAGTGATCCTGCTATTTAGGATAGTGAGACCTTTTCATTTCACCCACTTGAGCTACATGAAATCACATCCAATTATGGTTTCATTTGCATATCCCTGGTTATTAGTGAGGTTGGGCATCTGTTGACAGATTATTTTCACTATCAATTGCCTGTTCTCGTATTTTACCCATCTTTCTATAGAATTGTAATTTTTTCTGCATTTATCATAAAAGTTCTTAGGTAGCTGAAAAACTAGACATTTGCAAATATCTTCTAGTTTATGACTTGCCTTTTCAAGTTTTAAATATTATCTCTCAATAAACTAAACATTTAAATTCCATTGTGGTCAAATTTATCATGTTCCTTTACATCTTCTTCTTGTAATTTCTAATTTACAATATTTATTCATAGGCTAAAGTAATAAAAATGTTCTTTTATTCTTCGAAAAAAATTCCAAGCAAACTTTTCACAGTTATATCTTTAACACCCTTTAAATTTACATTTGTGTATGATGAAAAGTGGGGTTGACCCACTGTCTTTTATTTCACTTAAAAGGACATAGGAGAATAAAAAGAGCATAGTTTCTTTTGGCAAAACCTGAGCAGAGATCATGTGTCTACTTTCCCTTGTGGTCTTGAGTTCCTAAGTGAATCCCCCTTCTTACCTTTTGCAACCAGAAATCACTTTCTCCCGGCAGTCTCCATTCTTCTTCCAGCTCTCTGCTGTGGAAGAAATGAACACCTGAGCATATAAGACTAAAGGTCAGGGCCTGGGGATAAAGCTAAGTGGCAAAGTGCTTGTCTAGCATTTGTGAGGTCCTGGGTTCTATTCAAACAAAAACACAAATACACACACACACACACACACACACACACAGAGAGAGAGAGAGAGAGAGAGAGAGAGAGAGAAAGAGAGAGAGAGAAACTACTGTCCCCCTACAACATGTATTTAAAATTTAATCTGGCCATAGGTATAACTGGGCTCAAAGGATGTTTGTTGACTGGGAGAATGGATAATGCTGAGTATTCCTGCCAGTGATCAGCTGTGCGGATTTGACCAAGTCATTTAATAGCTCTACCCTTGCTGCTTTCCCCATTCAGCCCTGTGGATAGTGGACACCTAGTCAGAGGGATAATCTTTCCTGTATGACCTATAAGCCTAACTAGGTGAGTGCAGGAAGTAAGGATTCATTCAAACCTGAGGCTATGACTATATTTGAACCTGGTCACCTCTTCCCTCACTATCTGCAGTGAGCTCTGAGGTCATTCACAGGGAGTGCAAACATAAAAGTGCTGGAAGTTTTGTTCTCATCAGCCTATGGAACCAGGACACTGCCTGGGTTTGGATGGGTGCTGTGCCACAGTTGGCTGGAGGGGTGGGGCGGTCCTTGGACAAGATACTTTTAATTTCTTTGAGCTTCAGTTTCCTCGTTTGCAAAATGAGTTAACATAGGTAAAGCACTTTGAGCTGTGTTTAGCAATAATGAGTGCTTAGGGAAGGTGATCTATTGTTACTTGCAACAGAAAGTTTAGGAAGAGGAATTTTAAGCAGCAGAAATTCCTGTTCCAAGTCACCTGAAAAATGCCTTTACTTTTTAATGAGAGCTCTGAAATGTGAAAGAGCTCTCAGACACCCATTCCTTTGGGCCCTCTTCCGAGTTTCACATTCTTTTTTTTTTTTAATTTTTTTTTATTGGTTGTTCACAACATTACAAAGCTCTTGACATATCATATTTCATACATTAGATTGAAGTGGGTTATGAACTCCCAATTTTACCCCAAATGCAGATTGCAGAATCACGTCGGTTATACATCCACAATTTTACATAATGCCCAATTGGTAATTGTTGTATTCTGCTACCTTTCCTATCCCCTACTATCCCCCCTCCCCTCTTCTCTCTCTACCCCATCTACTGTAATTCATTTCTCTCCTTGTTTATTTTCCCATTCCCCTCACAACCTCTTATATGTAATTTTGTATAGCAATGAGGGTCTCCCTTCATTTCCATGCAATTTCCCTTTTCTCTCCCTTTCCCTCCCATCTCATGACTCTGTTAAATGTTAGTCTTTTCTTCCTGCTCTTCCTCCTTGCTCTGTTCATAGTTGCTCTCATTATATCAAAGAAGACATTTGGTATTTGTTTTTTAGGGATTGGCTAGCTTCACTAAGCATAATCTGCTCTAGTGCCATCCATTTCCCTGCAAATTCTACGATTTTGTCATTTTTTATTGCTGCATAGTACTCCATTGCAGGTTTCACATTCTTATCTAACTCAACTTTGGAGTCATGTAGGAGGATGTAAGGGATTACAAATTGAAAGCCAGTAAAGTGCACCGGACCCCTAGATTTAAAGTTTGCATTAAGATAAAAGAATACATATTTTCATTTTTTTTGAAAGATGAGCTGAGGTGGGATCTCATTCCTTATGTTGCCTAGCAGCCAACAGCTCTTTTAGATATGCCTTGGACCTTCAGCGCTCTCACCCTCTTTGGGCTGCTGTGCTCTAGTGGCATCTCCCTGAGAAGACAAGTAAAATAGAAGGTATTTTAAACAGCTGTCCTATGCTGCTGGCTCACCAAGATGAGACCTAGGGGTGGGCTGCTCCCTGAGAAAAAGGCCCCAGGAAGGGCATCCCAGTGAAGCTGCTCCTGCTTTGTCCCTGCTAGTCACCATCCTTTCTTTCAAAACCTCAACAAAACAAGGAAACTCCTGTATGAGGACCTGTAGGGGGATGGAGACTGACTCCTACTCCTCGTGTCATCCTCCTCATCTTCTCTCCCGTTGACTAAGGCCATAGACTTCCTTTCCTTCCATCACCCTGGACAGAAAACTACAATTACCTGTTTCCCTCCGGTTGGCCATTAGCACCAGGCCAGAGTCACAAACCTCTTAAAAAGATGGCAACCCCATCTTGCTCAAGTGCCAGGAGAAGCCTTGAATGTTGTAAATGCTTAAAAATAATATGATGAGAGAGCATGTAAAACAGTAATGCTCAATAAACTTTTGTCCCTTACCCCCACCCCCGCACTCCTTTGTTTCTTTCCTTTTCCCGTCCAACTTCTAAAATCTCCAGCCAGTCAGGCCTTAAAAGACAACTGACAACTCTCAACCCGTTTACAACTCTTTACTAACTTCCAGCTATCCGCAGAATAAAGATCCTTCACAAACTGAAACCAGGCTTCCCTCCTGCGCTCCAAGCACGCGTTATCCCTGGTTTGTTAGAGTAGCTCAGTTCAGTCCTCGCTCTCCGCCTTCTCTCGATCTCTCCGCCTGGAATGCCACCTCCGCCTTGGCGCTTGACTCGGGCTTCCGGTCCGCTCCTGCCCCCGCTGCCCCAGGCTTGTCCTCACCAACAGCGAGTCCCACAGCAATTCCCTTCACCCCTTGACTTCCACCCTGTCCCTTCTCTGTAAAGCTTCCTATCGCAGCCTTGTGGGAGCGTTGGAAGCGATTTCCTTAGAGAACTATAGTCCAAAGAGGATCACTGGTGTCTTTGGAACTTTCCGGAATCCCCAGACGCCCAGCGCTCCTCTACCCAGAGCACGGAGCGATTGGGCTTAAGTGAGCGCGCCTCCTGGAGCTCGGGGGCTAAGGTTCTGACAGCGGTGGCGGCTCTCTGCAAGGCTGACTCTCGCCCTGAAGCAGTCACTGGAAGAGGAGGGGCGTGGACACGGTCCTGACAAAGCACATCACCGCTGAGTCGCAAGGGTTTGTAGATCGCGCCCTGTTTCACGATTTACAAACTGAGGCCCAGAGGAGATGGTGACTTGGCCAGGGTCACTAGGTGAGTGGCGTGCTCAGGCGTGAACCTTTGGCTTTCCAGAGGTGCTGCGGCCAGCAGTGAATGCGGCTCTATAGCCCGCCTCCGTCTCGGCGCCGGCTCGGGTGGGCGGCGGAGCCGGGTCTCGCCTGCTAGAGGGAGCCGCAGGGCAGGGCGGGGGCCGGGGCTGGGGCCCGGGCGGGGCCGACACAGGTGCTCCGCATCCGGCCGGGGGGCGGCTCCGTAGAGCTTTATAAGCCACCGGGTGCGGAGCTGCGCGCGGCTCGCTGCAAAAATAGTGCCCACGTGTGTGCGCGTCCCTCGCCCGCCCGCCAGCCGGCCGGCCCGTCCGCCAGTCCCGCAGGGCCGCGCCGGCCCCATGGCGTTCCCTTTGGTAAGAGCCGCTGCCAAGCCGGGGCGGGGCCCGGTCCAGCGCAGCAGCTAACGGTCCGCGCGCAGCATCGCCAGCCCCGGCGCCCCTCCCCCGCTCCGCGTCCCGGGCTGGCGCGAGTCACATGCGGCGGGCGTGGGGCCGCGTGGAGGGGCGTGCAGCGAGGGGGCAGGGATCCTCCCGTGACTCAGGGCCTTCGGGCTTAAAGGCGCAGCGACTCTTGGGGGCTGTCGCCTGGGCTTGTGAGCTACGCTGCTGGTGGCTTCGAGCGAGCATAGGTCCTGACCAGAGCAGACTGACGGAAGGAAGCCCCGGCGCCCAGAATACTTGCTTCTTTCGCAGCCGTCGCACGTGAGGCCTGAGCCAGCCAGCGCTAGCAGCCCGCGACCCCTCTCCTCTGCTGTGAGCCTCCTGTGCTCCGTCTAGGGTGCGGGGACCCCGGGAGGGCGGGTTTGCGGGGGTGAAGAGTCTCACGTGGAGAACGCCGCGACGGCGCGGGCGCGGCCCCTTTAAGGCGGAGGGATCAGGCCCTCGTGCCAGGCGCGCGCTTTCCTGGCCCGGGGGTCACGTGGCTTCACACGTTCGATAAGCTCCCAGAGGAGTCTTGGAGAGCGCGCGGGTAGGGTCCCGCACGTGCGACTCAACTTTGAGCCGGGAGGCCTGCAAGTCTGGCCAACTCGAGGTGGGTCTTGGGGGCGTGTACGGGTAGGGACCTCTGCGGCCCAGAGACGCAGGTTCCCCACCCTACCCCGCCCGTGTCCTGGGAGATGTGTGCATATGGTTTGGCTGGCGACGTTTTCCTCAGCCGGGACAAGGCCAGGTGCCTGAGCCCCGAGGTAGGGGAGACTGATGCTGCCTCCAGCCCTGGCTGCAGGCTTGGGAAGCAGTGGTGGGCGCTGAGGGTGGGTCTGACCGGTTGCTTCAGCTAAGGGAGATGCAAGATGGAAGGGCTGCGCCGGCCTGGGGACATGGGGTTAGGGGGTGCAGACCAGGAAGAGGTCTTTGCCGTTGGTGTCTTATTAGTTGTCCTTGTCTAGGTTTTTTCTTCTCGATCAAGTTGATCATGACTTTGTGCTTCTTGTCTAAAGGACCCTTCGAGACCACAATCCCCGGAAGTGGCCAGAACTGCCAAAGAATGCTAAGAGCTCGCGGGCAACCTGGCTTGGGGATGTGCAGCCTCATGTGCGTGGTGTTTTCGCGATGGCATTTTGCTCCTTGCAGGCTGTACTCCTGTTCACGGGGCTCTCAAGCAAGGTTCTGCCTGTAGAAGACGTGCAGGAAACCCCGAGTTCCCCAGAGCAGCCTACTGCCTGTGTCAGGCCTCAAGGATGGCTGTGCCCTCCCCGCCGAGGCCTTGGCTGGCTCTGATGAACTGGCATTTTTCTGGCGACTGCTTCCTTCGTCTCCCTGGCTACCACACTGCTTCCCCATATTCTTCTGGCACCTAAGGAAACTGTTGGTCTTGGTCATTTGTTGGAGTCTGGGCAAGTGGGTTGGACTGGGAGCTCTGGTTGGTGCTCCTCAAGTGATAGGAGTGACCTGTGCCAGCTGGCAGAGTGTCTACTGAGGATAGTTTTTCACCCTTAAATTCAGGTTCTCTTTGAGTCTAGGGATTCATTCTGGGTTAAAAAATGGGAACCAATCGAAACAACAGAATCTTGGAAATACAAGCTGGCAATTGGTTTTGGGGTTTGTTTGTGTGGTAAGTAGAAAGGGGGTGGATATTCTGTTTCTGGAGCCCAGTGGTGCTCTGTGATTTTGGGAGCCCCTAAGAACAGTAGTGTTCAGGGCTCACTACTGGTATTTATCTTTACTCTTCCAACTTGCCTGGAGCTATAAACTCTACTCCCAGAGCATTGCTTCTGAGGAGTTGTTTTTTTTTGGGGGGGGAGGGGGGAGGTGGTGTTTTTGTTTTTGTCCTGGTGACTTAATTTAAATTTGGGTGGCTGGGCAATGCATGCTCCATTTATAGAAATAGTATTTGGAAGTTGAGTACCCTATATGTAAGTATTCCATTATAAAAATACTTACCATTCCCTTCCCAGTGGTTGTCCTATATACAGCTCACTATAATTAGGCTTTCTTGTGTGGAAGAGCGATTTTGCCAACCTGTATAGCAATGCATGGCATAGTGGTGCATGCCTTTAATCCACAGAACTGGGGAGGTTGATGCTGAAGGCTTGTATATTGGAGGCCAACCTGGCAAGTTAGTGAGATTGTCTCCAAGTAAAAAATGTGGCTTGTGATGTAGCTCAGTGATAAAACACCCCTGGGTTCAATCCCCTAAGTATTCCCCCCCCCACCAACACACAACCCCAAACAAAAAACTAGTGCATATGGTGAATTATGAAAATTTGGTTTGGAATGATTCTGGGGTCTTTCCCAGGCACACATAACAATGTCCATGAGTCAGAAAATGGAGGATGATGATCAAGTTGTAGGACTCCAGGCTCAAACCAAAGTTGTCATAATGATAGTGGTTGCCCCAATCTATTAATTTTTCTGGGAGGGGATACCCAGGATTGAACTCGGTGGCACTCAACCACTAAGCCTCATCCCCAGCCCTATTTTGTATTTTATTTAGAGAGAATGTCTCACTGAATTGCTTAGCACCTTGCCATTGCTGAGGCTGGCTTTGAACTCTAGCTCCTCCCTCAGCCTCCCAAGCCGCTGGGATTATAGGTGTGCACCACCTTGCCTGGCTTAATTTTGTTTTTTATCATTAAAATGGGTTCTAAACCAAATTCTACAGGAGCCTGAAGGGAAGAGGAAGGAATAAGAGTAATGCCTATTGTCGCTCTCTAAAGGGAGTTACAGAGTAGCCGCTAGCTGACCGGTTCCAAGGAAATATGTTGGTACAGAGTTGATGGATCTTTGATTTTTTTTTTTTCCTAGTCAAGCTGGCCATTTCTATTTTGATGAATTCCGTGACTTAAATGTAGTAATTAAAAAATTATAAACTATGTGGACCAGCTGAAACATGTCTTTTGTGTTGTATTTAACCTGAGAGCTAGTTTGGGATCTGTTTTTAAGTCATTCCTGTTAGATTTCCCTCCTGTTTTGCAGATGTCTAGTCTCAAGGCTTTTAATTAATGGAATAACATTTGGGGTCCTTTTGATGCCATAGCCTAACCTATTAATATATGATATATATTATGGTATATCAGAATACTGGGCATGGGGATTTTATTGGTTGTGGACAGCATAAGAAAAAAAGTGGTGTCCTTTATAGGTAGAGTGAACCTTAACTGCATTCCTGGAAATCTATTGCTGTAGAAGTCAGTGTGGGTCTTCTGAGCATTAGTGCAGCAGTGTTGATGTCAGGAGGAATGTGCTGTGTCTATCATTCCAAAATGTGTGTGAGAGCAGTTAGTTGATCCTGAGAGCCAGAGGTCTGGAGAAATCGGGCTCCTCCCATTGTGAGGGTGATCCTCCCAATCCTGTGCACAAAAGACTTTCCTTTTTCAACATACTTAAAATTTCAATAGTCTTTTTCTCCTTTGGAAACAAGGCAAACATAAAATTATATAATTGTTTTAATACCTATATGAGTAGAATCAAGCTTACTAAATCTCACTTTTTCTTAAATAATTGCCATAATGTATCTCAGATTTCTAAGAATTAATAAAGGGTTTGTATATTTATAGGCTTTGAGTATTGAACCCTGGATCTTGCACATGTTGAGCATATGCTATACCACTTAACAACACCCACCTCCCCTAGTAAAGGATTTTTGGCAGTATGTGGTAAAATCTTCAGGGATAAGCCCCAACAGCATGAAAGAATCCTGCCCCAGAATAAAGGGCTAGAGTTTTAACTCTGGGTAAAACTTAGGATCTCAGCCTTATACATAGCCACACTAGTAGATATAAAGGGACTATAAGCATTTCTGTACCTTCCTCCTAAGAATTAAAGCGGCAAAGTCTTGCCAAAGGGATTTTTCTATAAGAGTGCAACTCAGGTACAAGCTAGGTTGCTTTCTTACCTGTGGCCTGAAAAGCTTTAGGAAAGATAGGAACTTTAAAATGTTAAGTTTCCCTACCCACTTCTTTAGCATTCTTTACTAGCCAAGTATACAGCTCTGAGCTCAATGTTTGTAGATTCTAGGAGTGGCGAGGACTATGTGTGTGTGTATGAGGGTGGGGTGGGGGAGGTTGATTATTGTCTTTGCTGGTGTCTTTTTGTTTTATGTTAAATTTTGTGTGTGCAAGCTTTCTCATTCACTGATTTCAGGTCCCTTGTGAAATGGCCATTCCCTAAAATTGTTTAAAGGTCAAATTAATTAAGGGGTTTATACTTCTGGTTTAAAATTTGGGTGGGATTGTATATCAAACACAGATATTAATGTTTAGACTATTGTCTTCAGTAGATAGTGGTGGAGGCAGTAAAAGAATCATGGCATCAAATAGGAAATTATTTTTTCTGCTTGGAAGAGCTGTTATAATCTCATCCTGTTCTGCAAATCTGCTCTTCCTAGGCAGTATCTTAAGATGAACTGACTCTGGGAATTTGCCAGAAAGCATGTTGGGGGAGGATACATAAAGAATTTGGCTTCTTTTTTTTTTTTAAAACCAAGAAGCATGGACTGGACCCTTTCAATGTTAAGTTTTTGGGATGCTACTAACTCTGCCTCCTTTTCCCCCCACGTTGCAACTTTGAAAATTTGCCTTGTTTTTTTTTTCCCCTGCCATCATCGAATCCTGTTTTGGTTAAACTGCTCATGTAAGCATAAATTCCAAGCGCAGAAAGTTTTTAATGTTGCTAGGACCCCAAAATATAGTATACTGGCTGAAAAATTGAACTAAAAGGTACATAATCATAATATTTACATTTTTGTAGGAAAATTATATCTGACCTTCCATAAAAAGTCTCCAATTTTTTTTTGGGGGGGGTTGCATACCAGGGATTGAAGTCGGGGGCACGCCACCACTGAGCCACTATTCCAGCTCTATTTTGTATTTTATTTAGAGAAAGGGTCTCACTGAGTTGCTTAGCACCTTGTTTTTGCTGAGGCTGTCTTTGAATTTGTGATCCTCCTGTCTCAGCCTCCCAGAGCTGCTGGGATTACAGGCATATACCACCGCATCCGGTTAAAAGTATCCAAATTTTATAATATTGAACCATCATTATAGGTGTAATTTCCAGTGACTTTTTGTTACTGAAATTTATTTATTTTTAAATTAAATTCAGGGATAGGCTAATTGGAACTGACTAGTCACATTGAAATTGTATGCAGGTTTATCTTATTTATGGTGCTGGGGATGAAACCCAGGGCCTTATGCATGCTATGCAAGCACTCTACCATTGAGCTGCACCTCCAACCCCTGTTATTGGGATTTAAAAAGATACCTGTTAGGGATCATTTTGTTGCTTTAATGGATATGTGCTTTTAACTAGCAGGC